GAAGTGTCTTGCAATGTCTTTGGCGGACTTCTTTGATGGATTTGCGAAGCAATGCCGCTTGACGAATTGATGATTTTGAAGAACTCGCTGGGGATGGGCAGATTGTCCTGAAGAGATTGTCGTTTGTCGTTTTGAATAAGATCTTGGTCAAAACGAGTTGCTCAAATAAAGAGATGTTTGCCGTCCAAATGTAGGTTGTTGAGAAAAACCTGTGACATTGTTGGAGTAATATCTGTCTTCGTAGAGATTCTTCGAAAATATTCTTCCTGGGGAATAAAGTGCAAAATAAATGCACACTTAGTCCATGTTCAAACATCAGAGGTTATCCATGATGTGATTGCCGAAGACCGAAGTTCAATTCGGGAAGTAGCCGAAGAGACACTGTCAAGCAAGACTCAACCATTAAGGTATGAACTCAAATGGTATTGTACTAAAATAACCATCTTCCATGAGGATTGAACTCCATGGGGAAAATGAAACACCGTGCTTTCCCTGCCTAGGGTCGACAAGTCTATTTGGAGGGATAAGACGCACCCAAACACTTAGGGATAACTACAGCCAAAGCAATAGAATAAAACAAACACAGAGAATTCGGAAAAAAAATGCACATGCCATGTTGTCTACTTATATGCTATGCGGATGCTGACGGACTGGGAGAAGTGAAATAAACGCCTCAAATGGAGGGGTACTCAAGCAAAACCTCCACAGATCTCGGGCCACCTGTAAAGAGATCCCGAACATAAACAGACCCCGTCTCTGGATAAAATAAATATCCTTTTGTCTTAGAGAACCACATAAGATTGTCGTTCTTCCACTGATGAAATAAACGCCCATGGTCATCCTTTCGTTATTCATATATCAAGTAAAACACAAAGTTTTGAAAAAGTTTAAATCAATCTGGATTTTGCTATAAAGACTTTTGATAAATGGAAAACTTTTATTGAATGGGGGTCAGCAAAAAGGCGTGACCCCAATTTTACAGTGTTGGAAAATAATATCAAAGGAATAACAACTTGTTCTCCCTAAGTTATGAGAACCCCCTTAAGCGAAATACTTCTTGACAGCATCCGTGTTCACAGGGCGAGTGATTTCTTCTCCGTCCATCATTGGTAACATCAAAGCACCTCCTGATAGAACCTTTCTTACTATGTACGGTCCATCATAGTTTAGGGCCCATTTTCCTCTGACGTCGGTGAGGAAAGACTGAATCTTCTTGAGCACGAGGTCACCTTCTTTGAATACACGGGGTCGAAGCTTCTTATCAAAAGCCTTCTTCATCTTCTGTTGGTATAACTGTCCATGGCATAGCGCAACCATCCTCTTTTCTTCGATTAAGTTCAATTGATCATACCTGTTCTGGCACCATTCAGCTTCTGATAACTTTGCATCCATTAAAATCCTCATAGACGGAATTTCGACTTCTATCGGGAGTACTGCTTCCATGCCGTAGACAAGTGAAAACGGAGTTGCCCCAGTTTATGTGCGTACCATCGTACGATACCCATGCAAGGCGAGCGGGAGCATTTTGTGCCAATCTTTATAAGTAACAACCATCTTCTGAATGATCTTCTTGATATTCTTGTTGGCGGCTTCAACAGCCTCATTCATCTTTGGTTTGTAAGGGGAAGAATTATGATGCTCTATCTTGAATTCTTCGCATAGTTCTTTCATCATTCTGTTATTCAGATTGGATCCATTATCTGTAATAATCCTGCTTGGCACACCATATCGGCAGATAAGCTGATTTTTGATAAATTTGACAACTACATGTCGAGATACATTAGCGTATGAAGCCGCTTCGATCCACTTGGTAAAATAATCAAAAGCTCTGAAGAACAAGACCTGACATGGCTCTCAAGATTCGAGATAAGGTGAAGAAACAGATTGATGCGGGTTTCCTAGCAGTGTCCAAATACCCCGAATGGGTGGCCAATATTGTACCTGTACCGAAAAAAGATGGGAAAGTCAGGATGTGTGTGGATTACAGGGACCTAAACAGGGCCAGTCCGAAGGATGATTTCCCTTTACCGCATATCGACACGTTGGTGGATAATACGGCTCGTTTTGCAGTTTTCTCATTTATGAATGGATTCTCCGGTTACAATCAGATTAAGATGGATCCCGATGACATGGAAAAAACTACTTTCATTACTCCGTGGGGGACTTACTGTTACAAATTTATGCCTTTCGGTCTGAAGAACGCAGGTGCTACTTATCAAAGGACCATGGTAACTTTATTTCATGATATGATGCACAAGGAGATAGAGGTATATGTTGATGACATGATAGCCAAATCGCAAAGCGAGGAGGACCATTTGGAACATCTTTTGAAATTGTTTAAGAGACTCAGAAAATATCAGTTGAGACTGAGTCCAGCCAAGTATACCTTTGGGGTAAGATCTGGGAAATTACTCGATTTCATTGTCAGCCACCGAGGAATTGAAGTAGATCCAGACAAAGTCCGAGCCATTCAAGACATGCCAGCTCCACAAACAGAAAAGCAAGTCAGAGGTTTTCTTGGAAGACTGAACTACATATCCAGATTTATTTCCAATATGACTCCTACTTGTGAGCCCATCTTTAAATTGTTACGCAAAGACCAGACAGTTGTTTGGAATTCAGATTGTCAGCAAGCATTTGATAAGATCAAGGGTTACTTACAAGAACCTCCAATCTTAATACCTCCTGTTCCAGGAAGACCTCTCTTCATGTATTTAACAGTGCTTGAGAATTCAATGGGTTGTGTGTTAGGTCAGCAGGATGAGTCTGGACGAAAAGAACATGCTATCTATTATTTGAGTAAGAAGTTTACTGATTGTGAAAGCCGATACAAGAATTATGTAGGGATATCTCATATCATTAGTTATTAATTCAGATTTTCTAGTATAATGTTAGTGTTAAATTTCATCAAATATAATTTTTATTTTTTCAAGCAAATATTTTGTTTTAATAAAAAATTGATTTCGTTATTTTTATAAAAAATTTAAATTAATTTAACTAAACAAAGATAACAAGTTTTTTTCATATAACATCTTTCCTGCGGATTTACCTGCGATTTTTTCTGTTATTTTCTGTGCCCAGCTAAAGTCTTCGTGGGTAATTAACTTAGCAGGTAGAGTCGCAGGAAAACGTCGCAAGTAAAACAGCTTAAATCGCAGATAATACCGCAGGTAACTGAAAGTTTCGCAGAAAATATCGCAGCAAGTTCAGAGTCCGCAGGTAAGTTTGCAATATTTTCTCTCTCAGGTTTTTAACTTTTATTATTAATTGTATTTAATTCTTATTTAAAATTTTATAAATTTTAAATGTCAAAGTATCAATAATATAAATATAAAAATCTGATTTGAATAAGTCAAGGCAACACTAATCTCATTCAAATTTTTAAAGCAAACATTACTATAAAGTCAATAACAAGTACTTATAGAGTTACATTACTAAAAATGACACAATCAAACTACTAATAATTACTTGTCCAACCAAATTAATCAGAAAAACCAGATTTCAGACAAATTAACAAGAAAAAAGACAACCAAAGGCTGACATTTACTCAAAACATGAGTGAGAGTATCTAAGGATGTAGATTGAATGCACTTTCATCTGCCGGTTCATTACGAAGAACTTTAGGTGCCATCCATTGAGGCTATAAGCAGAAAAAAGTCTTTTATTCTCTCTGGCCGATCGGAATTTAATCTGCGAGCAAAATCTTCCACTTTCCTGCATCACAAAATAACATCAAAATAAATTTCGAGTAAGAGAAGAAAACGTACACTCTCACACAAGTCACACACAAACATTATGCACACACTATTGAGTGTTCAATATGGATTGGAAAAATGGAGTCTTTTTTTTTACTGTTGTGTCACACTTTTGAAAAATAAATATCAAAGTGTTTTTTTTTTTCAAAATGTCATATTTTCAATATGAATTCGGTCATTTAAGTGACAAATATGTGAAGGAAACATATATAAGGTGTTTGTCCATTAGACGAAGAGCACTATATTAGTACTCTCTATTTTAATTCTAGTAGAGATTAAAAAATAAACGTTACTATCTATTAAAAATAGTTAGAAATTTTACTAAATGGGGAAATTGATGCTGTTAATTTGAATCTATTTTGCTTTCTTTGGAATGTACTGTTAGAATCAATGTGTCAACCACTGTAACATAAATCTATGCACATTGTATTACCTGTATGTTTATATAGGATTTAAAACTTAAAATAAAATAAGAGTATCAACTGTGTCACATACCAAATATATCCATTTCATTATCATATACCACGACAAAGTAACATATTAAGTAAATATATGGATATATGGATTATGGATGGCAACAACAGCAGTGCACTACATAAATATATCCATCTCAATATTATACTATATAACTCAATTACATAACAGTGCACTATAAATTTTAATTAATGCATAGCAACAGCAGCAGTGCACTACATAAATATATAATTCCATAATTGCATAATTTGACGGCATTATAATTAAAGATGCAATATATATAATACCTTTGTCCTGACAGAAAGTGGATTAGCAACAATGAACTTGAAAAATTGGGGAAGGTATTTACGCTCTCCATCACCATCATTGTACAATGCAGTGCAAACCAGCCTGAAGGAAAGATATACAGTCCATCAAATTAATGTGAAAGAAGCATAGCATACCACAACAGAAAGACATTGTTGAGGGTTAAACTTAAAACTTACGTGTGAGGTCCAAGCTCAGACTTAAGTTGATTAAAGACAATATCAAAGTTTGTTTGGATTGATTAATTGGGATGTTTATCCAAACAGGGCTTAAGGGAATCTACATCTACTTATCTAATTAACCAACATAGATGCATTAAAACAAAAAGAAACCAATGACAATGAGTACAACGCAAGTAAAAAAAACAAGGTAATTGAACAGTATGAAGGTTAGTTAGAAGAAACTGACCTTGATAATAACTTCTCTGACTTCAATATTGGAGCTATTGTTTATACTTATATAGCTTCAGAAAGTTTCTCCCAAGTAAATTGCTCTGCATCAATCAAATTGGAATCTAAATAAACAATTACAAAAATAAAATTAAAAAAAAAAGTAATTGAAAATTGAGAGAGAGTAGGGGGACCCGAAGGGCTGAGGGAGAACGAGGAGGCCAGAGAGACCCATGGAATCGGAGAAGTGATGAAGGAGGAAGCGGTCGCGATAACTGAGATTGGAATCGGGAGCGATGAGGTCTGCGGCGGAAGGGGCGGAGGGAACGTCGAAGTGGTCTTCACCGACGAAGAGGTCGTCGGGATCGATACAAAGGGGAGGATCGACATTGAAGGATGAACGGCAAAGTCGCATAACCCTAAACGCCACTGAATGAGAAGATGAAGATCCTCCAGTTTGACTCATCTTCTTGAAATTCAAATGCGAAATGTGAATGTTTTGCAGTCACATAAGAATCAGCACCGAGATCGTTTCCAGTGTGTTTCTTTCAAAATGATAATGTAATTGGATTTGGGGTTTTTCTATGCTAAAGATGAAATTGTTACTTTGGTGTATTGATTATCGTAAGTACACCCAATTTTGCAGGTGATCTCAAAATGTTTGAAAACGGTATACAACTGCAATATGTGGCAGGAACAATAAGATTTCAGATATCTATGTTGCAGCCGCAATTACAGTAAAGCATCGTTCACCACAATATTCCACAATATCAATTATCACAAAACAACAATCAATTTTAAACCCAAATCTCAATCTTTTAATCAAATACTTATCATGATAAACTAAATACCAAATAAAAACAGGTGTAAGTATTACAACTTATTATGTAGTAACATTATTAAGTGTAGTTAAATGAACGATAACCATACCAACAACTCGGTGGTGAGAGACTCAAGCCTGATTCCGACATCCACTCTTCAATTCTGGGAGTTTTTGGTCTCCCGACCAAACTACTCTTAATCAAATTCACAGGAGAGAGCATCACAGGACTTTCATCAAACACCTTGCCCTCAAGAACATCCCTCTTCTCCGAATTCAAATCGGTATCTCGTTTTTTCTCAATATTACTGCAAACCCTACCAACAACCTAAAGCTCTGTTACCCCGAAGCTGAGCCAAAGTTCCAGGTTGCAAATACTTTCTTCATGTGCATCTCGTTTTTTCGTTGTGTCCATTGTTGCCGGCGAGTTGCGAAACTGTGGTGTAGTGAGAATGGGATTTTTTTGAATTTTTTATTTGATTTTATTGGACGAAGAGAAAGGAGTAGGGTACTTGAGTGAGTAACTGAGTCGGATACTGAAAACTTAGTAGTTGAAAATTAACTTTTTGAATTTTATTTTGATTGTTTAAGTTAAGGAACAAAAGAAGGAGCGGATAATAGAGAAAATTAACTAAATTTAAATGTGATTGTTTAAGTTAATGGATTTTTTTTTTTTGCCATTTAATCTATAATTTGATGATTTTTTTTATTTAAAAGATTTACTTTTTATTAATTTTTTTACACTAAATCCATAATCTAAATTTTATACTTATAAAACACAATTTATTTGAAACATTTTTTTCTCTTCAAAATTTTAAGATGGTAAATGAGTATTTTTAATTTATTTTATCATCTTTTAAATTGTAAAATTGAATTGCAAATTAACAAATTGATCTCTAACATAATAATCTAGTTATTTCACCAAAATATTTTAATACACAAAATGAATAAAAGCATTATATATAATATAAAAATATATGTTATAAATTGAATAAAAGAGTTATTTTATTCTCTTTTTAAATTTTAAATTTTTAAAAAAATTATAAGTTGAAGGATTACACATCAATTATATCATAAATTTATATTTTTGATTTTTCTAATTTTTACAACAATAAAAAAGCATTAAATAAATAAATTTTCTTTAAAAAATAACTAAAAAAACTCAATTAATGTTATAAAACATTATTAAAAAAAAATAAAATTTAATATAAATAAATGTCTTAACAACATATTTTTGGAATCATGTTTTATAACTTTTTTTTATTAATAGTAAAATTATAACAAAAAACAAAAATAAACCAAACAATTTGCAGAAAAAGTCGCAGGAACATTTACAGCAAATTCCGCAGCAAATCCTGCGACATTTCCGGAGAATTTTGTAGTTTCAATGGATTACTAATTCCTGCGAAATATTTCGCAGCTAAATCCGCAGGTAATTTATATTTTATTTTTAAAACTATTGTTAATTTTTCTTTAAAATATGAAGATTAATTGTTTTTTTTTATTGTGGCCTAGTAATCCAAATCAACAAGATTTTTTTAATATAAAAACTAACTAGATTCTAATTGATTTGTTTTATTTTAAGGAATAACCTAAATTCTAATATTCATCAAATCAATTTAATGAAATATAATAAATTAAAATTTATTTTTAATTCTAATCAACCTTTTTTTATCAACCAAACAAAATTCAATACTTGGTTGGTCCAATGGCTAACAATGTGGCCCATATGTGTCTCGGCTCTATTAGATTTTACATTCTGGTTTTGTTTGGTACTCCTTCAATTCTCTTTTAAGTACAATAGAAACTCTTTAAATTAATAATGTTAGAACTAGAGAAATTTATTAATTTAGAGAGTTATTAATTTATCGATTAATTAATAATTAATAAATTAAAGAGTTTTTAAGTAATTATATTGTACATACCAAACAAAAAGGCAAATTAGTCTATGCCTCTTAGAATTACGTTATAGCGAACCTTGAGACTCAACGTAAATTAGTAACTACTGTGTTCATATGCATTGAAAATCAATAATGACTTTTGAAGTACAGTAAATGTAAACAAGAGGAACAAATGTGTTCAATGTATTCTTAAGCAAATTTGCCATATATAAATTACATGAATGTGTTAAAGTATTCAAATCATATCTCACAAAATGGCTTCTCATCTAAAAGGTGTTGCAAAATTAACTATGTCAGATCAAATATATAAGGAGTTGTGTGAGTACAAGAGAGATAATCATGCAAGCACACAAAAAGACTTGCAGAGATGGCTTGAGGGAAAATTTCAGTTGAAAGTTAGTCAAGGAACAATATCAAACACACTTAAACGGTCAAATGACTATCTCTCTGCTGAAATAGAAAAGGGAAGAGCAGAGATCAAAAGTCACAAACCAACAAAATATCCTGACATGGAGAAGGTTGTTTATGAGTGGTTTCTCCAGCATCAAGAACGTGTGAATATCACAAGAGAATTAATTTTGCAGAAGGCAAGAGATACAATGAAACTCATGTACCCTCATGATGATTTAGATTTTAACTTCTCTATAGGATGGCTTGGGAGATTCAAGAATCGACATGGCATAAAGCCATTTCGTCGTTTTGGCGAGAGGGGGTATGTTGATGTACAAGACATGGAGCAGAAATTGGTATCGATTCGGGAGAAAATTGATCAATTCCCTATGAAAGATGTTTTCAATATGGATGAAACTGGGTTGTTTTATAGGCTACAAGTTGATCATTCATTGGCAACAAAACAACTTGAAGGAAGAAAACAAGATAAAGAAAGGCTGACGGAAGTTATTTGTTGCAATGAAGATGGCTCTGAAAAAATCCCTCTATGGATTATTGGGAAATATGCAAAGCCTCGTTGCTTCAAGAATGTCAAAATGAATAGCTTGAATTCTCAGTATCGAGCTAACAAAAAAGCATGGATGACTAGTGTGTTTTTTGATGAATATGTTCGTTCATTTGACCAAATGATGCATGGTAGAAGAGTTCTACTTGTGGTGGATAATTGTCCAGCACATCCAAGAAATATTGAAGAGCTAAGAAACGTTGAGTTGTTCTTCTTGCCACCCAAAATGACATCAAAGATTCAACCTTGCGATGCTGGGATAATAAGAGCTTCCAAGATGAATTACCTTAGAAGGTTTTACCGCAAAATATTGGAAGGTTATGAGGTGGGACAATCTGATCCAAGAAAGATAAATGTCTTTGATGCTATCAATTTGAAAATCCCAGCTTAGACGATAGATGTTCGAAAAGAAACAATAGTGAATTGCTTCCGACATTGTAAAATTCGTTCAGCTAGTGACGTTGCAAGAAATTTGGATGAATCCACTTTTGATAAAGAAACTCAAGACCTCGAGACTATGATCAATCAACGTGGCTATCGTAATAAAATGGATATCGACAATCTAATGAACTACCCAGGTGAAAATGAAGCATGTTCGGAGGTTCATAGTTTAGAAGATATTGTGGGTACTATCATTGAGAATAATGCAGAGGATGACGGGGAAGATGATACGGTGTCATTGGAGCCTGTTACGCGAAAGGAAGCACTTATGGCGTCGAACACTCTTCACAACTTTATGAAATTATACAAAAATACAACACCTGAGCTATTGGATGCAATAAGAAAAGTTAGAGATGAGCTCTAAATAGACTTGGACTTTAAAGGAAAACAGACAACTATTGAATCATATTTCAATAGAGTGTAATATTTTTTTTTCCAGTTTCTATGAATTATTAATTTATGATTTTCTTGGGACCGAAAATTATAAAGGGATCTCCCAAAAAATTATTATCTTATTATTTTATCGAGTTTTTCAATTTTTACATTGGCCCAAATCGGGATCAAACAAATTTATTATTTTAGAGAGTTTATTAATTTACCGAGTATTAATTTAAAGAGTTTCTATTGTATTACCTTTTGATTTTTTACGTATACTAAAAAAGCTAATTAATATTGTAACTTTTCATACAATATACTTTTTTTATCTATAATACCCCTAATTATTTATTACATTCATTTTACTTTTTCTCTCTATCTGTAATAATTATGTAGGAGTAGTTTTGACAAAAATGCATTTAATACTATCTTGAATTTTGTACGTGATAATTAAAAAGAAACAAAAATTATCCAAAAAGTGACACTTAAAAAGAACATAGGGAGTATTCAATTGTACAAGCGCCACTACATTGTTTTTTCAAGAGGTTTCCAAGTACACAACTTCTTTTTCTATCTCATGCACTAGAATATTATTTGTTCGAGGGGTATGCACAAACCTAGCGTAGGTTATCGATTTCCCATTCCACCTCCTGCATTATGTTTTGTATCGCAATCTCTATTTTCATCACTACAACATCCGCTGCTTGGGGATCGTTGTCTCTTTCATTTTTAGCTTGGGCTTTTTTAATGATATCCCCATCCTAGTTAGAGAAGATAACTGCAAGCCTCCAACTCCCTCTTTGAGAAAGGTTACCATCGGTATTACTCTTTATCCATCTCTGATTATGTGGAATTCTTTGAACTTTACATTCTTTATAATTTATTGAAGTTTGTCATCTCATCGTTTCTACTTATTTCAGAATTTCGTTGAATGTCTTTAACTCTTTTACTTTATTCCTGAGTTGTATCACCAT